GGGAAAGGATATTTACATTTTATCTATGCCCTGGAATGATGTTCTATCTACCTGTTTCTTGTCTCATTTCAAGCAGAGGTGATCTTGTAACACTTATGAGATACCCAGCTCAGACATCCCTCGTGCAATGTATTCTCAAATCTCCCCTTCTCTGAACACCCACGGGTTGCTCATCTCTCACCATAATATATGTAAATGTCTATTTCAGGGTCAATGTCCCTAAGACTCCTGGGAGCAGCTTGAGAGCAGGAATTATGTATCCTTCAGGGTTGCAATGTCAACGTCCCACACCAAGCCTCACAGCTATTATGGCTCCAAACTGCATAAGAATGGAACCGTAGCATCGAGTCGCTTTCCAAGCCCCAGTACAATTCATGAAAAGTTTTTTTTTTAAGATTCATTTATTTATTCATGAGACACACACACACACACACAAACACACACACACACACAGAGGCAGAGACACAGGCAGAGGGAAAAGCAGGCTCCCCGCAGGGAGCCAGATGTGCGACTGATCCTGGATCCTGGGATCTCACCCTGAGCCAAAGGCAGATGCTCAAATGCTGAGCTACCCAGGCGTCCCAGTGAAAAGTTTTTACTTCAACCTTTCCTCTAAATCCACAGAGATTGGGACAGCCCCCTAAGGTCCATCTCTTGGATTTAAGCAGCACTTCTCTTGGCAGCTCCGGGAACACAGTGGTGCTGAAATGAAGAGAGGCAGGTGAACCCACTGCTCAGGACAAAGACAGCTTCTTCCAAACATCTGTGACATCCTTGAATTGACTGGCAAACTCTCCCAGTCACTGGCATCTTCAGTCGTGTCCAGGAGCAGAAGCTGAATATTTTTGGCCCCCAGGGTCTCCTTTAGAAAAGAAAAGCAGGACCTGCATCACTTTCGCTGAGAGGTAAGAAAACAAGATCATTTGATTTGGGAAGGGTAGAAAGAGAAGACCAAAACGTTCTTTCTCCTACAAGTCACCTGTGGGATGCCAGACACTACCTGGGTGCCATGGAGACTACATGGGATTTAATCCCCATGGCAGGCTGAGAGCATGAGGGCTCATCTCCCTACTGTAGGTGAAGACATGAGGGTCAGAAAACCAGAGCCCTGGTCTAGGTCAGGGGCAGAGCTTGGGCTAGAACCAGTTTCTGTTTGATTACAAAGCCCTTCTTCTCTTAACCTGAATGACAGTATATTTTAAATTGAAGCTTATAAAATAAATGTACTAGATCAATACTAGCATTAAAATTCCCACGTCATAGGGGCAGGTGGCTGGCTCAGTCAGTCCAGGGTGAACTCCTGGTTTCAGAGATATGAGTTCAAGCCCCATGATGGGTGCAGAGATGCCTTGAAAAAAAGAATCTCTTTAAAAAACCCCATGGCACAGAACATGAGAGAAGATATCAAAGGGAATCCCATAGAATAAAAGTAAGTGTTTTTTGTTAGATTTCTGTTTTATTTGTGTATGTGCTCTGTGTGTGTGTGTGTGTGTTCTATTGTGTTGGGTAATAGTGTGAATGTATTTCTTACTTGGGGCAATGGTAAAAATGCTTAAGAGCTACTGCACTCTATATTCCTGCATCTAGATTGCCTGTACATAGAAAGCAGGCAAAAAAATGAAAGCCACCTTACCGAATATCCCCTTCATTCCTGATGGAAATATTGATACCATCTTCCTTAATAATGAACTCAAGTTTTTAGAGATAAAGAATCTTGCTCATGGGGATATTTGGGTGGCTCAGCGGTTGAGTGTCTGCCTTCCGCTCAGTGATCCTGTGGTCTGGGATCGAGTCCTGCATTGGGCTCCTTGTGGGGAGCCTGCTTCTCTCTCTGCCTATGTCTCTGCCTCTCTCATGAATAAATAAATAAAATCTTTAAAAGAAAAAGAATCGGGCAGCCCGGGTGGCTCAGCGGTTTAGCGCCGCCTTCAGCCCAGGGCCTGATCCTGGAGACCCGGGATCGAGTCCCGCGTCAGGCTCCTTGCATGGAGCCTGCTTCTCCCTCTGCCTGTGTGTGTGTGTGTGTGTGTGTGTGTGTGTGTGATGAATAAATAAATAAAATCTTTTAAACGTTTTAAAAAAAAGAAAAAAAAAGAAAAAGAATCTTGCTCATGGTTACAGAGCGAGCAAGTTGCTGGTCATAACCGTCTCTGCAGGGGTGAAAACCAAGTCAACCATAACGACATCTCAAGCTCTTGGTGCAATTGAGGTGTGAGAATTGTTTGTGCAATGGGCTTGAGATGTCTGAATCATCCCCAGAGAGTCCAGTACCTTTTCAGGTACACTTCTGAGTTCTTCAGCAGATTAAAGAAGGACATTCTGGAGCACCTAACGTTATCATAGAGGCAAGATCACCTCAAGAAGCCTTCATGAAGAGGTGAAGACAAAAAGAGGGGCAGCTAGAAGGGAGAGGAGGTCAAATGCAGGACCAGGGGTAGATGAGAGCAGAGACAGAAAGAAGTCCATCTGAAAGGAGGATGTGCATGGCAAGAGGTTGTGGCAGCAATTCATTTGTAGAACCAAGGACAGGACCCTGCCAGTCCTATTAGCGGCTCAGCCCTCGTTCAGGACCAAGAACAACCCAACAGGCCAGTTGGCTTTGTTCAGAGCTAAGAACATCACTCCATCAGAAGTTGGCCTGGAAAGAGTGTTAAGCACCAACTTCGAGCCTCCTTGTGCTCATCTGAAAAAAGAGGTTTATGCCAAAATATCAAGTGGAATTTTCCACCAAAAACATATCTGCCTTCCTGTGCAAAACCGTGTCCCCATAATTATAAAATAACATCAACAGTGACAACAGATAATTCATTGCGTTCATATTATTCAACAGTTTTTCTTCTGTTACTCTAAGGGAAATATCTTAATGATCTCATCTATCTTTGCCTAAACCAACAGTTTTGGAAGGAATTCTCCTTTTTCCTTAATTCGGACATGTTAAGAATTAAGCACTTTCAGGGGGGAAATTTTTACTAAAATTGAGGGAGAAGCCATTTAAAGAATTGGAGTAAGAACATAATATTTAGGTTCAAAGGAAGATTAGTACTCACACTTGATGTGCAATGTTGGTCCTGTTTTAAAGTGGGGGGAGAGTGCATTTGTACATTAAGTGCAAGAATATGCCATCAATATTTCTGAAAGGACCCTCAAGAAACTGGTGACTGTTGTTTCCTCAGAGAACGAAATGGAAGCACAAAATTTTATTTTTTATTAAAATTTTACTTAAAAAATTCACATACATAAAATTGACTTTTTGGTGTGCATTTATATTAATTTTTAACACATGTAGAAGCTATTTCTATAAATGGCTTTTATAAATACTGAGCAGATGCAAAAAAAAGGCAACCCAGAAATATGTATAAAGACAATGATGCATTTGTCTTTCTCTGACAGACTTATTTCACTTAGCATTATACCCTCTAGCTCCATCCATGTCATTGCAAATGGCAAGATTTCATTCTTTTTATGGCTGCATAATATTATATTGTGCTGGATAATATTTTATACCACATCTCCCTTATTCCATTCATCTGTTGATGGACGGACACTGGGCTGCTTCCATAAATCACTGCATTGGACACCTGAAAGTAATATAACACTGCATGTTAACTATAATGGAATGAACATAAGAGATAAAATAACAAAATAAGATAAAGATACAATGAGTCTCTTATATTCATTAGCTATTTTAAAAACTTGATTATCTTTGAAGTCCCTGTATACTCTTCTTATACCACTCTTCACTGGTAAGAAGTATCCAAATGAATTTGGGGCCCTTTATTATCCTATTTTGCCACATAACTTTGTATCCCTAAACAATGTATTTCTTCAAACTTTTTGCACAGTGTGACTTTTAGATAAGTGGAATTATAACTGCACACATCCGTAACTTTTCTCTTTTGTTCAATATAACGTTTCTGAGATTGATTTATTCAGAACGTTAGATGTGGTCCTGATTCATTCATTTATTTGAAGAATAGTATTCCATTATATAAAGAGATCACAATTTATTTATCAGTTCTACGACTGGACACTTGGGATGTTTGCGGGTGTTTTGTTTTGTTTTGTTTCCCTTTTTTGCTAGTAAAACAGTGCCGCTTTGAACAGTACTTAATCCGGATATATACTTACACATAGAATTTCTGGGGCATAGTGACATCCTAAAAGTTAGTACATAATGCCAAATTGTTTTCTGAAGTCAGCATACAATTCAGACTCCCAGCAACTGTGTATAAAAGTTCTTATTATTAGACTTAATATTTTCAGACATTTATACTTGCCAATTCCATGAGTGTGAAATGGTATCTAATTTTGGTTTTAATTTCCATCTCCTTGGTTCCTAATATCTCCCAAAATAGCAAATTTCCTATGTTTCAAGTGATGAATTATTCTTTGGTGAGGTATACTTTCAGGCCTCCTCTGCAATTTTCTATGGAAAAAATTATTTTTCATATTAATTGGACAATTTCTTTGTATAGCCTACATAGGCTGCCCTTGTCACTCATATGTTTTGCAGGAATATTTTTCATTTGTGACTTTTAAATTTTTTTGTGGTGATCAGATTTTCTTTTGATGATTATAGTTTTTACATTTTATTTTTAAAAGTTTTTAAAAGTTTATTTATTTATTGAAGTAATCTCTATACCCAGCATGGGGCTCAAAAGAAAGGAATCCAACCTAAGTATGACCACTTAAAGTCAACAAAAGAAAAGAAAGTACAATCATAGCTCTTACCTCCATTCTACAGGCAAGATAACAGGCTTGTAAAAGCTGTCTTGCTAAAGATCACAGATTTGCTAACTACCGGTGGAAGCTTCTTGTTTCCAGGTTTGCGACTTTCTGGCTCACTGGTCCTCCTGACAGTAGTCAATCTATAGCACTTACGGTGGCTCTCAGGGCCCCTGATGCTCTTCCTCTTTTACCGTTTTACTCCTGCCTGGATCAAAGTCTCCACTAACATTTCTTTCTTCACTCAGATGGAGAGGTCCCTGGAGTTGGGCAACATGACCAGAGTCCAGGAGTTTGTCTTGCTGGGTTTGTCCACCAGGCCGGGCATAAGGAATGCCCTGTTTGCTGTCTTCCTGACCCTCTACCTGCTGACCCTCCTGGAAAACACCCTCATCATCTACCTCATCTGCAGTCACAGCGAGCTCCACAAGCCCATGTACTTCTTCTTGGGTAACCTGAGCTGCCTAGAGATGTGCTATGTGTCAGTGACCATGCCCAGCCTGCTCCTGGGGCTTTGGACTGGACCCTGCCACGTACCCTTCACAGCCTGCATAATTCAGCTTTTTTTATTCATAGCTTTCATTAGTACCAAGTGCACCCTCCTTGCCTCCATGGCTTATGATCGCTATGTGGCCATCTGCCACCCACTCCACTACCCACTGCTTATGAGGCCCCAGGTCTGCCTGGGCTTGGCCTTGTCTTCATGGCTTGGGGGGCTGCTGGTCTCAGTGGTCAAGACATCCTTCATTGGTAGCCTGTCCTACTGTGGCCCCAATGTCCTCAACCACTTCTTTTGTGACATCTCCCCTCTGCTCAACCTGTCTTGCACCCACGTGGCTCTGACAGAGCTGGTGGACTTCATCTCTGCCATCATTATCTTCTGTGGGTCATTACTAGTTGCTTTGGCCTCCTATGTAGCCATTGGGAACACTGTGCTCCACATGCCATCGGCAGCCACCCGTCGCAAAGCCCTCTCCACCTGTGCCTCACACCTGTTGGTGGTGGGCATGTTCTACGCAGTGGTCCTCTTCATATATTCCCACCCCAGCCACATCAATTCCACAGGGCTCAGCAAGGTGCTGTCAGTCATCTATACGGTGGTCACACCCATGTGCAGCCCTATCATCTACTGCCTGCGGAACAGAGAGGTCCACGTCACGCTGCAGAAAAGTCTCCACTTGTGCTGGGTCTCTTCAGTGAGAACTGACCTTGCCCACTCTTGAATTTAAGAGAAGAAACTGATGGTCACCACTGGGTAGATGAGTGAGGTGAATGGAATGAAGGAGTGCACTTGTCGTGATGAGCACCAGGTGATGTATGGAAGTGTTGAATCACTATATTACACACCTGAAAATAATATTACACTGCATGTCAGCTAAGTGAAAATTAAATAAAAGCCTAAAAAATAATAAAATAAAACTATCATGGCCAAACGCGCGCGTGCACACACACACACACACAGGATCAAAGGTAAGTGGAAACTGGGAGGCTGGGAGGAAAATATTAGCAACATAATGTATAAAGACATTCTTAAAATAAATGAGAGAAATAGGAATACTCTAAGACAAAAGCAAAGAAAAATGATCATGGACAGGCAGGTTATTTAAGGGAAAATATATGGCTGATGGCCTACCAAAAAATGTGCAACCTCTCTAGTAACCCAAGATATATAAGTTGAATCTGAAGACAGCAATTTACTCCATGCCTCCTGAAAAATATTATGAAGAATACTATCAAACAAGAATGTTTATTGTAAAATTGTGAAATTTGGAATAAACGTTATTTTATTGGTAATTATTGGAAATAACGCAAATGCCCATTGACAACATATTATTTAAATATATTGCATTGTATCCATACTATGAAATAACATCCACCATTGAAGAGATTAAACTAGATCACTGGTATCTACTAGATATTGTTGTGGGGATGTGGTCTGTTGTTGAGTTAAAGATGAAAGAAACAATACATGAATATGTCAACGTTTTGTGAAACAGTAATGATAAAGATGCTAATTGCAATAATTATTCATGTTTGTTCACACCTAGAAATGAATCAGAAAGGGTATATATTGAACAGTTTTTAGGTGTGAAAGCACAGGAAACTCATATTTTCCATTTTATATGTTTGAATATTTAGCAATAAGGTTATTTGACCTTCATAAATGAATAAATAAATGTATTATAGGAGAAAGCAAATTCAAAGAATGACCTTCTATGGGATGATTTACTTATCACACTAGCACATTTTAATTTATTTTTTTAATTTTTTCCAGCTTTAATGAGATATAATTGGCATATAACATTGTGTAAATTTAAGGTGTACAATGTGTTGATTTGATTCATTTATATATTGTGCATACTTTTAATTTTTATTTTAATTAATAAAATAAAATTCATGTTGACAATAACTCAAGGGTAATTAGCATGTTCAGGTGTTTTTGTTACATTATAGACTGGTGCATTTTAGGAGGGAAGTTTGTTAATACAAAAAGTCTTGAGAATCTGAATGCCTTTGCATCCAGCAATTCCACTTTGAGAATTTAACTTGAAGCTAAAAATGAAAGAAATGAGCAAAAGCTGAGCTACAAAGATACCCACTCAGGACTATTTTCACAAGGACAAGTAATCTAAGAGTTTATTTTTTTAAGTAATAGGAATGGCCAATAAACCTACGGAATGATGCTCAGCCTTCACCACTACTAGAGACATGAAAACCAAAGTAATAGGATACACTTCCACATAGCAAATTTTATTTATTTTTTATTTTTTAAAAGATTTTATTTAGTTACTCAGACAGAGAGAGGCAGAGACATAGACAGAGAGAGAAGCAGGCTCCCTGTGGGGAGCCTGATGCGGGACTCAATCCCAGGACCCTGGGATCACAACCTGAGCCAAAGGCAGATGCTCAACCACTGAGCCCCCAGGTGCTCCTCAAGAGCAAATTTTTTTTAAAAAAAGAAATTATTTGAGAATACCCAGTGTTAGTTGATGTGGCAAAGAGTGGGGTGGGAAGAGGCACTCTCTCAGATGCTGTGGGAATGCGGATTGAGGCAGTGTTTTTGTAAAACCATCTGCTGATATTAATCAAAGTTTACATTCATATTACTTTGATACAGCAACTGCCATTTTATCTTTGTGTTATAGATGTTGAGATAATCATTTATATTCTTCATCAATGATTCCAGACCCCTACCTGCTAGGCACATGTAGGATTGCACTTTCTGGGCTCTTTGTGGGTGAGTAGAGTTACGTGGGTGGGTGAAGTCCTATGAATGGTTCTGGCCTACAAGCAATTATGTCACTTACAGGCCAAAGCATTGAATTCCTGGTGTGCGACCCCCTCATCTCTTCTGTCTTGCATGGTGACTGGCAAGGTTCAAAGTAGTGGCTGCTTCTCCCACTTGAGGTCCGGACCATGGTTAGCAGATCCTTACCTGCCAACCTTCAGTGGACACAGAACAGGAGCAATTGACAAACATTTACTAAACGAAGTCACTAAGATTTCAGGGTTATTATTGTTATAGCAGTAACCAGCCTTCCCAGCAAAATACAAAACTATTTGGACACGTGGACAAAAAGTAGCTAATCAAAGAGTTTATTGTAATATTTCTTGCAATAATCATAAACTAAAAATTACCTATATTTATCTATAGATAAATGGATGAATCTGTTATGAGTACTATGCCTTTATGAACCTTTACGATGGCCATAGAAATTCTCTATATGCCAGTCTCACACAGGCATTGCTAAGTGACAGAAGTAGTGCATCAAGTCATATGATCGGAGAAATGAGCGATTTAGTTCAAATAGTTTGGAAAAATATGTCCATCAGTTGATACATCTCCCTCCCTCCCTTTAGCTATGTGCAAACCACCCTGTAAATTTTACGTCAGAGGATAAATCAGTCAGTGTAGGGTTAGGTAGATGACTATTCCCAATTAGAGATGAGGAAGTTGACATTCAGAGAAGTATGGTAAGTTGCTCAAGGTCACACAGGCAGCAGCTCTAATACCACAACTTCTTTTGCGGCCGTCTGACTTAGGTATGTTGTGCTCCTGGATGCTCATTTGAGCCTCCTTAGCTAGAGATGGGCACCAGATCTCTGCTCCCTAAAAGGATACCATTTGGTGTCTTTCTGTGTCTGTCTGATTTCACTTAACATAATGTTCTCTAGGTCCATCATGTTGTTGTTGTGAATGGCAAGATTTCCTTTTTGGAGGGTTGGGGGTGGACTAAATAATATTCCATATATATGTCACATTTTCTTCTTCTTTATAGTTCATCTGTTAATGGACATTTAGTTGTTTCTATATTTGGCTACTGCGAATAATGCTGCAATGAACATGGGAATGGAGATTTCTCTTCAAGATCCTAGATTAAAGTTGTGTACATTAAATGGGTACAGCTTTTCATATATCAATTATACCTCAATAAAATGGTTTTGAAAATCTCTTGACCCTAGTTTACTTATATAAAATAAAAAGAATTATTTCAGGTATATTGTATTATTTGCTCACAATTCCTCTACTCACTGTCCTTACGACTTTAATTTGGATAAAATACACTTTGCTGTGCCCACTGACTTTTGATTGACCATATAATTCACTGTGGCTAGTGGAATATGGATCAGATTGAGAGTTCTGAGCTGATGCCAAAAGAAGCACTAACTAGGAGCACCTGGGTAGTTTAGTCGTTAAGTGGCTGACTCTTGGTTTCTGCTCGGGTCATGATCTCAGGGTCCTGGGATCCAGCCCTGCATGGGGCTCTGAATTTGGCAAGGGGTCTGTTTGTGGATTCTCCCTCTCCCTCTTGCTCTGCCCCTCCCCCTGCTCTCATGCTCTCTCTCATGCTCACTCTCTAAGATAATTTTTTTGAAAAATATATTAAAAAGAAAAAGAAGCACTAACTTTTTCTACTGCCCTCTTGCTATTTGGCTTGATAAGAACATATCCTGGTTCTGGGATAAGAAACAAGGGGAACAGACCTAAACCTGATCTGCAGCCAGAAGCAGAACACCACCACTCAGCCATAGATCCACCAGGCAGGGGGGAAATTTGTGCTATTGAAGTCACTGAAAACAATTTTTGATTGCTTGTTACGTAGCAGTAGTGTAGCAATAGCTACATATAGCATCATAATGGTTAGGTTATGGGTTCAGCCAAAAATAGTTGCTTAAACAGGATGGAAATAATTTCCCACAAATGTAGCATCATTGATTTGGGGTCGACAAGACAATCCAATGTGTCAAAGGACCCAAGCCCCTATTTTGTTCCACCATTCTCAACATGAAGCTTCCAGATCAGAGTCCAAGACAGCTGCTCCAGTTCCAGTCATCATGTCTTTATTCCAGCCATAAGAGATGGAAGGGTAGCAAAGGATGTACAGGAAAGTGTCTTTCCCCTAAAAAGCATAACCTGAAACTTTGCCATTGACATCTGTCCAGTATATACTCATATGACCCTATGTAGGGACAAGAGAAGAGTTGGCAAATATTGTTTTCTGAGTGTCATATGGCCCTATGCAGGGGAAAGAGAAGAGCTGACATTTTTTTCTGGATGGCTATGCTTCCAGCTGAAATCTGGTGGATCTATTACCAAAGGAAGAAGGAAGGACAACACTCATTGTCACATGCATCTCCCTCAAAGGGTGGCTGTAAGGCTTAAAATGTGACAAATATTTATCCATTCATCTTCTTTATCCATTCATCTTCTTTATCCATTCATCTTCTTTATCCATTCATCTTTCGATGGACAGGCACTGAGGGGGACACTTGATGGGATGAGCCCTGGGTGTTATGCTACATGTTGGGAAATTGAACACCAATAAAAAATAAAATAAAATAAATAACCAACAGGAAACTAAAAAAAATAAAATAAAATCCTCATTAACCTTTCTAGGAAGGTTCTTTGAATAAACAATGGAATTTTAAAGCAAAAAAGTGCAAAAAATCCATATAAAGTGCTTTGCATAGGGTCTGGAATTCAGCAAATTCTCTATAGGCAGCAGGTCTTATAAGAGTCATGAATCTTTGGAAATATGGAGATCGTTAAGACTTTACCTTTCTTCAATGGATTGTCCACTTGTTTATTCGACCAAATTCACTGAGCAGGTGTTGTCCTGAGCAGTGGCATCACTGCCTAAGAGTGATGGAGTCCATGCTTCTGCAGCTCTACTGCTTCGGTCTGTAAAGTCTCACATTGTGTGAAATGGAAGCCACTGAA